AAGGTAGATTGAAAGAAGCATTCATGATAGTAGTAAAGTGGGCTAAAATCAGAAAAGCGAGCAATCTAATGAATAGGAGAATGAAGAATATTTGATGAATAACTTTACACCACATTCTAATTATTGTTACCAATGCGTATGCTTTCAATAAATTCCTCACTCAGATTGCAAAATGAATTTACCCCCTTTCACTTCTATCACCATTTCCGAAAATCACTCCATTCTAATCAATCGACATTTTCATTATACTATTTATTTCGTTTCATTTATGATTTACTTGTTTACTTCTGAATAAGTTCATTTCCGATATACGATAATATCAGATAGGCCTTTCTTTTCTCTCTTTCCTTCCTCCTCTCTCCATTTTCTCTTCACTTTTCACATGAGAATTTATAATAAATTCAAAAAGAAAATTGTATAAGTGACAGACAGCACTTAATATTTTTCAAACAAAAATATTCTCATTTTTGATGTTACCATTAATAGCATAGGTTTACTTAAAAATTACGGTATTGATTCATAAAAAGAAGCCATCTGCTTTTGACGAATTTTTGTGGGAAATTAAAAATTGGCGTTACATGATTTATTTATTGTATGCCAAACGGCTAAAAAGCATTTTATTTGCAGAATTTGTGAAATTCAAGTCACATATGATCTTGTTTTGTTTAACATTATTTTAGTAAGAAATGATTTGCTATCAAAATTGAGGAGACTACACCTCAATCACGTAGATCTCTTCAATGATTGACATTTGATTACTTCAATGATTTCATGAATAACGATCTCTATTGAATGAGCGACAAGTAACACTTCATAACATCAATTGCTTTTATCTTTCTTAAAAGAAAACGCTATCATGTTGAAGAATTTTTTTTAAATAAAACGCATTTAACTACTTCATGTATTTTGAAATTAAAGAAATTATTCATTACATTTCTATCAGTAAGTTATTAAAATAAAGATATTATAGATTATTATCATCGGGATCATGGCTATAACTATACATTAATGCATAACCCAAGAAATAATTAAAAAATGGAATAAAAAGTCTGAAACAGAGAAATATTTAATTGAAATTAACAAATGGGTGGAAAAAAGAAATTTAATATTTTATCACTATTACTTATTTTAATTATGAGTATAGTATAAGTTTTCAGAAATCCAATTTTAGATGAAGTTTAATAAGTTTTTTTCTGAATTATAAAAGAAAGAATCATTTTTTTTTTCCAACATATATATAATTATTTATTGAAGATTTGGAGGAAATGAGCAGCTGGAGTGTTGAATAATGAGTGTTTTATATTTTTAAGCTTCAGTTTTATCATTAAGCTTTGGAAGTAATTGAAAGACATTTAATTACCTATTCAAAAGCAGTAGAAATCCTTTATTTTGTCGATGATGATGATGATGATGTTTAAGATGAGAAAGTCATTGATTTGACGAAATACTTACGTTTTTCAATTAGTCACATTATTACGCCTTCCGCTAACAAATAAACACTCAATCAATTTTGTGGTCTAAGCTTGTGATTACGAAATGTTGCTATGAGTTAATTGATTTTGATATTATCAATATCTAAAGCAGCGTTACTAATGAAATTAAGCCGAGTATTGATCATTAGGTGTTAGTCGATAAATTGACTGAAAAAATGTAGTAATTTTATAAAGCAACGTATGTCTATCAAATCTAGCAGTTTCGATTTCATGCTTTCATACTAAAATATCGTTATATAACTGTACCTTGGGGAATCGAATTACGAGTCTCATAGGTATATTATAAGAGGATGAAATTACAGTGTAGTTTTGGAAAACTTGAAAAACAATATTTTTTAATTTGAAATATAACGCTTAAATTAGCTTTGGGAGAATTAACTTAATTATTTACCTACTCCCATATTTAAATAGGGCAGCATGATAGAAGATCAATTTCAGATTATTGAATCCTGTTTTTAGAACACTATATTTACTGAACTTATTGAAGGAAAAAAGATGGTACATACAAATAAACATTAGTTTATAAACAAAGGATTCACTTCATTTGTAAACATGAGTGATAAAATTGCTCGGTAAACAAAATCGTCGTATTCACTTACATTATAGAAGTGGTGCTTAAACACTAATTTCCATAACGAAATAAACCGCCAAAAACTATTAGAGCTAAGAGAGTAAGTAAAGCAGTAAATGAAGACAAGAAGTGGAGGTTGGCACATAAAAACAATGAAGTGAAAACAAGCAACAAGGGAAATTAGAGTTGGTGAAGTAAGCAAGAATGAAAGAGGTCGTCGGCTGATAAATTTCAACAACGATATTACTTCCATCCAAAATCACAGCGTATGTTATTTTTTCCCTCCTGTTAAAATTATTCATTTTAGCTACATTTTTTCTTATGAAGAAAAGTTCGCGCAATGGCTTTATGTATTATTGTAGGCAATGAACTTCAAATTATAACTAAATTTTTGGTTATTGGAACGGAATGGATATAATGGAATGGTGAATAAGTGGGAAGGGAAGTGTTCCATTTGAATAAGTAAGCTTATAAGCAATCAAATATAGCTTATAATGCTTTTTTATTCGCATACATTTGCGTGTTAACGTTCAATTTCATTCATTCTGATAAGAATTTTGTCCACTGAATGTTAATTATCCCAAATATTCCATTCATCATAATACAAATGAATGTATTTATTATAGACATTTCATAATTGTTGAGTCGATCGCTGATTATTCTATTGGTTTCATTGGTGATTAATCAGAAATTTATTCATTTCATTCCATTTCCCGAGATTTCTTATCATTAAAATATAATATTATAATAATGAATTAAATTACACGTAAATGATTCATTGTTTCTTTTCATTTGTTTTCCTCGTTAACCAATTTAATGAAAATTCTTTTTTCGTTATTTTACAACCTTTATCCCTTTATCTGCTATCATCTCATTGATTATAATGTTCAACATAATTACAGTACGCTTATCATTCACTCCTTTTTGTATTTGAAATAATTATCAATTATTACAAATGAATAAAATGTTCATATCCTTATCAATACTTTTCAACCTTTATGAATTTATATGGTTGAAAGTTTTATTGAGAAATGTTGATAGAGATATATGCATTTATTCATTCTCAATTCGTTTCATTCCAATATATCACTTTTTCCATTTCAACTTCAGCATTACTTCTAACCAAAGTAAAAAAAGAAGTATCAAAATTTCGCAAGCTTTAGCTCCCTATCTCGGATAATTGCTGCTAGATAGCCATTTAATACTGCAAAGTCTTTCTGATAACGATTATGAATTATCATTAGATGGAACCAGAAGTATTATTCTCATAGCTAAATTATTTTTGCATTTCTTATTGTTCATATATTATTATTCTTATTCAACGAAACAATCAGCCTTTATTTATTTATTGACAACATTTCTAATGCATATCGATTGCTCCATAATTAATAATAAATGAGTATAACTCTAGCGTACAATGATTCTACACGATTTGATTGAAATAAACTTGAGTTTTTTGAATAACAATTATCAACTTTTGCGCTTTTTTCCTTCCTTTTCGGCAACAATTATTTATGTTATCAATTAAACTATTAATTCCATCCAAGCTTCCCATTTTATCCTTTAATTGAATACAATCATTAATATAAACTTGAGCTTTTACTCTTTCTCCTAAAAGGCTATTCATTTTCCTTCTTGAATAAATCAAGAAAAGTTATGATCGAAATAAATATTAATATAGCCCAAACGAAAATCGATGGATCTATTTTCTATGACAATAATTTTAAAGTTTTATTGCTTTCCATATAAACTTCCTCATCCATATTTCTCATTTCATCCTTTCACACAGATAGTATTTTTTATTTTGCGTTCGTTTCAATTTTAATCAGTGATTGATAATATTTTGAAGAATACAAATTTTTGATACCAGGAATATTCAACGCAAAATTAATTTATATCTTAATTGGATGTTTGTACATTTGATTAAGATTGTTTTATCGATCAGTTTTTATTTCGTAAACAGTATCCTAATTTATTTAAGCAGATCTTTAGTAGAACCAACAGTAAAATGTTTTTGCAACATCCATCCTTTACAGCTTGCTTTCTAATTAAGAAAAGAAAGCTAAAAAATCATAAGCAAAGAAAAATTTTGCATGATAATATTCCTGTGTCATTTAGGAGAAAGGGAAAGGAAAGACAGTGACAAAAATTTGAAATAGGAATTTAAATATCCAAAAAAGCCTTTATATGAAAGGGACATGAGATTTTCTTGCTGTTAATTCAAATTATTAGATTTCGAGAAAATTGTAAGCTTCACTGGTCTTTGCCCAATTCAATTAGCTAAGAAATAAAAATAAGCTGGCAAGCATATTTTTGAAGTTCAACTTACATTCAACAATAGGAAAATTGGGAACAAAATAGGCTGTCATCTCGTCACTTTCTCTGTATTATCAATCGGCAGAAAAGTTTTTGCTTTTATTTAGGCCACTATAAGAGAAAATTTGTTCTTTTATATGTATTTAATTTGTCGTTCCTATTAAAATGCATGAATTTTTGCCTATCAGAACTTAAAATTACAATTTACGTTCGAATGGTAATTTTTTAGGGCAATTTCTTAAATATTACATAAGCAAACTAATTAAGCATTTGCATAAGTGCAAGGAAAATTTGGTTGAAATTACACAAATGCTAAGCTATGCTAAGCTAAGATAGAAACTACTATGCTAGCTAAACTACCTTTCCTCCATTATTTCACTCATATTTGAAATAATTTTAGTATAATTCATGCGCTACATTTATTTAGATATTTGAGTGAAACCTTTGAATAATTGACATTCATATGATTATTAATATAAAAAATTAAACTAATTTAAATTGAATGAAATCAATTTAATTAGAAACTTTACGTTTTTATCAAAGTCGTTTTAAAAAGATATCACAAACACTTCTTAAGATTTAAATTTTAATATTTAAAAATTGCAGCAGTTGCCGATGTAATGTCCTTCGATATAACGGCACCATTTCAAGCCGGATTTAGCACACGTGATCAGATAGAACATCGTCACAAAGTTCATCCTGTGCAAATAATTGCTCCTCTTTCATCTCAGCCTAATCGTTACAAATTTTTGGAAAACTCACTTGCCTCTGTGCTTGGACATTCATCCATCGCTAATAAAAAGATATTCATTTCTTTCATGAAATTATATCTTGGAATAAATTAATTTTATATAAAATCTTAAAATGAAGTTAACCAAATTTTTGATATTTAATGTTTCCAATTTTAGAACTAACTTTTGCAAAAAACAATTATTCGGAAAATAAGCATATTTACTGGTGGAGATTATTTCGAAAAGGGAAAAATTTGCAAGTCTTTGATTATTATAGTTTGTTTTGAGTTTTTGATAATTAAAGTTTTCCAATTATTTAGTTTTCAGATAGTAATCATAAGTGTAGCAGGTGCATTTCGGAAAGGGAAAAGCTTTCTACTCAATATATTCCTCGATTATTTGTATAGTTTACAAAAATCACAACAGGTAATTAATGGAATTTTGATTGAATTTGCAATCATTTTGTTAAATTTAATAAAATACGTCTTTTTTGACTTAATTTCAATTTTTGTTTTCATTTATTTTAAAGAATGGCACAACTTTGGAATGGCTTTTGGATGACTCACAATTAGGAGGCTTTCATTGGAGAACTGGGATGAAACGTGACACCGCAGGAATTTGGATCTGGGGTGAACCGATAATGATTGAAGCAGCTAACGGTGAAACATACGCTGTTGTATTGGTTTGTTGAAATTTGAAATTATTTCAACATTTTTCGAAAATATATTAATCTCATTTAATTAAAATTCATCATTTAATTAAAATTCAATTTCTTTTTTATTTGATAAATTTTTTCTGAACCATTCACTAACTCAAATTAAAAGTAATTAGGATACACCACTATTGGTCTATTCATTCATTATTCCATTATTTTTAATCAAAATTTAAAACAATCTTCACAAATGCGCATATTACAGATGGATACACAAGGAACAGTTGATAATGCAGCATTATCATATCAAATGTCTAGTACTATATTTGCGTTATCAACCGTGTTTAGTTCGATACAAATTTACAACGTAGCAGAGACGATACTTGAAGATTCACTAACAAATTTATCACTTTTTGTTGAGTATGGACGACTAGTACTGGATGAAGCTACCAAGTTCAAACCTCCTTTTCAGGTTTTTAAATATTCTTTTTAGCTCTTAGCGATTCAAAATGATGAATTCTTCTATGGAAAGAAATACAACAACAAAACACAATGAAAAGACTGTTTACATTAACTAATATTAACATTATTTTTACTGCATAGAAAAAAATAAATAAGATATAAAGAACTAAAAGATCAATTTTTTAGTTTCAAATTTTGAACAATTTTTTTTACAAAAATTTTGACAAAACCCACAATGGCAAATTATTTTAATTTATCGTATTTTATTGATAAAATTTTTCACTTCGGTTAGAATTTGAAGGAGAAAGAAAAAATCAAATTTCAGACAATCGTTTTCGTCGTTCGAGATTATAAATCATCGGAAGAATGCTCATATGGATATGAAGGTGGTATGGGTTATCTCAAAACAATGCTCCAAGTACCATCATCTTATGAAGTATATTATATCTTTTTCCCATTTTTTTAAATATTCAAACAATTACTGCAATTCAAGGATTTCTTTTGTTTTCACAATTAAGTTAAATTGGGTTAAGCTAGCTAGTTTGGAATGTAAAAGGGAATTTTACTTAAGAAATAAGCTGTAGAAATTGAATGATTTAGCATTAAACATTTTTTTGTCCAAATTTTTCCAGTCCAATGAACTGAGAGTTGTTCGAAAGGAACTTCAAAGTTGTTTCGAACAAATACTTTGTTTTTTATTACCACATCCAGGTCATCGGGTTGCAGATCGTGAATCTTTTAAAGGACTTGTAAAAGGTTTTACTTCCCCATCTTATACATCAATTAAATTGATAAAACTTTCGAAGCTGATCATTTTACAAAAAAAAAATTGATAATCTAACATTCTGACGAAAAAAGAAACCTTAATTAACAAATTAAAAAATAAGCTGGAAAGCATTTACAGATATAAAACCGTTGTTTAAAGAGGAAGTGAAGAAAATGACGGCACATCTTTTGAACCCACAAGCATTGCAACCAAAAATTGTTAATGGAAAAACGATCACATGCAGAAAAATTACGGATATGTTCAGGGTTTACTTTCCTTTCAATTTTTCCTTTTTTTGTAAAGATTCAATTTTATGTGAAGAAGTATGAAATGTAATCGTTGGGAGAAAAGGAAATTAAAGGTAAAACCGGGATAAAATGAAATAATGTGAAATCTTCAAAATGCTGAAAATTTTCCAGGAGTTTGCCAAGACATTCGACAGTTGTGTGATACCGGAACCACAGATGATTTTAGACACAAATGCCCAACTAATGTATTTGGAGGCAGCAAATGAAGCAAAAATATCGTATATCCGAGGAATGGATCGGGTCACAATTCCTAAATCATGCATACAATTTCAAATAATTGGCTGTAGCAATAATTCCAAACCAAGATTTTTAAATTATTTGAAAATTAACTTTGTCATTTATATCACCATGTAGTATAAGTCACATTACTTAATGGATAATGTAATAACTGTAAAACTTGTTTAAATTTAAAGAATACTTTTTTTTTCCAAAATAATTTGAAATATTTCAGACTTGTTTGAAATCAGGAATGTTATCAGAAAAACGGCTTCATGAAGCACATATTAAATATGGTATTATAGCTTTGAATATTTTCGAAAAGTATCCAAAAATTGGAAGTAGCGAAGTTCGATCCAGGAACCTCTCGACGCTTCAACAAAATCTAAATGTAAAGATTATTTATTAATTCCATCTCTATAATTGGAGTTTCTAAAGTGTCAAATATTATTTAAGATTCAGCAATAAATTTGCTATAAATTCGATGCTATTGCAGAGCGAATTGGAAAAGTACAAACGATTAAATAAAGAAAAGCGTGTGACAAGTTGCGTGTCGCGCATGATTGCGTGTGGTGACTCCGTGTTTTTTGGTATATCTTTTAAGTCTTTTAAAATCCCCAAAAACCAAAAAAAATCAATTAAACGAATAAATGACTAATTCTCTATACTTTTCTGCTGTGTTATGTCTCACTAATAATTACTTTTACGATTTGAAAATTTTCATTTTAAAATAGGCATGGGTCTTGGATCAGCTGCATCAGCAGCTATCGGTGGAGCAGTATTAACATTGCAGGCGGGAATGGTAAGTGCTGGCGTGATTGCTGTACCGGTTTCACTTACAGCTTTGTTAGCAATCTGGGCTTATGTCTATTATAAGCCTAGAATTCGCTCGTGTCTTCGTCATGACTGTCACAGTGTCTAATAATTCCGTCTTATCGATTGTTTAACACTTCAGTTGTTGGTCTTGCTAATTAGAAATATATTAACGTCAGAATCAGCTATTATAGAAATTAGGAAGTCGAATTTACTCGCAAATAATTAAGTATCACATTAAGCAGATAGCCAACATTTTTTGACGTCACTTATTTACGTCTTGCTTCTTGCTTTATTTTCACCAAATCATCTTTTACAATGCAGTAGAAGGCGAAAACGTAATCTGACACAAAAGTAATCAATTGTAGAAAGCATTATCTCAAGTTCAAGCATATCCTTTTAAAAAGGAAATTGAAATTAAGCTTCCCTATATGCAAATATTTGAATTGACCTAATTACATGTGTATTTATCATTGTAATTAATAGGCCTGAAGCTCTTATAATCTTAAACATTTCTTACAAGCAATCATTCCTTCATAAGCCATCGAAGGAAGCTGACCGATTTCAAACTTTCCTATCATATTGTCTTTCATGTTGTATTCCTTTATACTTTGTTTATTTTGTATAATTCATTAAATTTTGATAAATTTAATCGAACTTTTTTGCTATAAACTTCGCAACAACATTCATTATCCATAATAAATGTCGAATCAGAAAATGTTATCAAATTCTAACCATATCTGAAACCAATTCTTGCAATTAATTTGGCTTGCTTTCTGTTTGAAGTAATATCAATAAATTATTCCATCCAATATAGTTTAACAATTTCGTGTAATCATAGTTTTTCTAAACATTCCTACAATTTTTCCCCTTTTTTTCTTTTCGTTTTTTTTTGGAATATCATATCATTCTATTTTGTTGCAATAAATTGAAATTGAAAATTTTGTCATTTCTCATTTTCTGCCATCTTAAAAAAAAAGGAAGAAAAATTATGATAATAACGCAAATTTAAAATTCCTATTATAGAATAGATCAGTGAATCATTTATGATTTCTAGCAAAAATTCCCAACTTTCATTATAAATGAATAGAAGATTGAAACATTTAAAATAAAAGGAAATGGATGATGATGATGGTGATAATGATGATAATGATAATGGTACATTATTTTATATACAACAAATTGTTTGCATAAGGCATTAAAATTCATATAAATACATGTATCTTTTCTTCTTTTTTTCCTTTATTAAAATGCATCAACACATTGAAAATATATTACTACTGTAATATAATGTACGGCAATGTCGTAATGATCGATGATCCATCCCTTTGATTAATTTTCCTTCAGTGGCGGAAAATCAAACGTAAATCAAATTTCATACTTACTAAACTTTATAACCTCTTTCTTTTTTTTTTGCTAAACTACCACTCAACTATTCCATTTTAAAAGTGCAACGTTATTCCTTAATCTTCTGAAAATAGCTTTAATATACTTCCGCATCCAATCTTAGTTTATCAAGAAATTTTAATTCCTGGAAATTTCTCTTACATTATCTCTTTTTTTTTTTTAAATTAAGAATATAGCAAGCACAATATTATAATATCCGGAAAAATATGTCGAAAAAAGTGGAAAAAGGAGGAAAAAAGGTGAATGAGTTAGAAAATGCTTTCATCATTTCTTAAAATTTACCCGAAAAAATTTTTTGGATGATAGCGAAAAGCATTTGATATATGAAGTAAAAAAAAAAAAAAAGAAGGTAAAATGTGACAATTAATTAACAATTATTTGGAAAATTTTTGTAGTAAGCAAATAAGCACCATTGAACACAGGAAAAATAAGAAGAAATTTTATAGTACAAAAATGCAATGGGAAAAAAACAGACAATGAAAAACATTGGAAATTCTTATAAAGTAGCATCTAAAACGAAAACATTTAACTTTTCAACTTAAATTTAAATATTAATGAAATGAATTCATATTTAATTTGATGCTACTAACATGAATTACAATTTTGGTAGAAGAAGAAAGAAAACCTAGCAAAAGAAGAAAAAAACTTGGAGAATGCCCTGATCACTGAAATATGGCTCCGTCTTGCCTCGTATCGTTAACTTGATTTTCCAGTAAACAATGCCAATCATTTCTTCGTTGTGGATCTTCATCTAACGAACTTTCATATGGTGGTGGAGCTGAAATTTCGAAAATACAACTATACCAAATGAGATAATTATTTGTAAAACGAATTAAAATAGATAAATCGGTTTGCAACTTTTGCAGATTGATAACTAAAACAATTTCACTTGCATCATATAGTTAAATAAACAATCAGCTAAATAATCATATAGTCAATAGTCATATAGTTAAAATCCATTGTAATTTAAAATATTTTGTTTGCAATTTTATTGAAATAAATTTAGGCCAATATAAATCAATTCAAATATTCTATAGGATATATAATATTTCTCTAAATAAGAATAAAAATAGAATAAGAAACGGCTAATCCTATTATTAGGTAATTAGAACTAATGGGATTGAAATCTTATAAAATTAAAAATATGGACAACTTCTGAATTAGAAAAAAAGCGTTCAACCTAATACAATGAAAAAGTTATTATTAATTACAACACCGTAACTTTCAGTTTAATAATTACAGTAGTTTTTCATTACTTATGTATTCATTTGCTTTTTGAATAATTTTAATTACATTAAGCAGTAGCAGTTCATAAGCCTTTCAAAGCACCCATTTTCAAAATAATAATGACATTTAGTTTGAATGTTAAATTTAAACTTATGGAGACTACCTGAAAGTTCGTCTGTTAACTTTTGGATTAAAAAAAAATTTCCTTTTATTTAAAAACAATTTTAATCATATTAGGAGGGACTTTCGAAATATACCTCGGGAAGTAGACAAATGACAAAATAAGTAATATTAAAGAAGTCAGAGCTATAATTTGGTCAATCAACATAGCGTCGTCTTTTTCAAAGGTTAGTTGAAGGGATACTTATATTCTGATAGTTAAACCAATTGCGCATTAGGCAATAGTTCGATCATAGCCAGTTTAAATAAAAAAATACATTCATAATTTATCTGCAATTTCCATCGGAAATATATTCCGATCACGTATTCACAAAACTTGACAATACTTGACCATTCCCAACTGGACATCTTGTTGAGATATCAAGGTGACAATGATGTGAATAACTTGTACGGATTTTGTGAAAGTGTTAGATGGTAAGAAACAAATACTTAAATATATATCTATGCATAATATACATAAATTTTTCGATACTGCCAATGAAACTTCTTGGACTAAAATTTCACAGCTCTATACGGATTGATGGAATTTATTGTTTATTGTAAAAGGATGACTTCACAGCTCTATACGGATTGATGGAATTTATTGTTTATTGTAAAAGGATTAAGTGTTCCGAAAATTGAATGAAAGTGTTACAGTAAAGTGCAGATACTTCCTTCAACTACCATCTCACTCCCAAGAGAGGAAAACGAAGTCGGAATCTCATTATGTTGCTGCGAATTTCATTATTTATGCAATGGCAATCACGAAGCATTTATTTGCAAATGCCTCTGAAAAAATATTCAATTTGTAGAAAGCCGGAAAACTCATTGTGGAATATGAGAAAACACTGAGCACGGATTGACAGCAGATTTTTCCTGTTAACTTCCCTAGAGACCTTCAACCTTCCCTCCTTTTTCATCCTCAATATTACCCTTCCTTGCTTAAATGCTAAAACTAAAACAATCCTATGTTAAGTATAATTTGAACAAAATACTTCCATCACATTCATTTATTACAGGAAAATTTTCAGGATTTTTTAGATCTTCGATAAATGCTACTTTTTAAATGTGTTTTTGCTTCTATCCTGAAATTATTCTGAAATCTTTCATTTTTCCTTCTCCTGAAAAAAAAGATTCAAACTTAAGATAACAGAAATAGAATTTCTTTAATTAGCTTCAAATTCATATTAAAACTATGAAAATTTCCTAAATTTGTATTTCATTCTTATATCATCCGTATGCTACTAAATTACAAAAAATTTCTGCTCTTGAAAGCCTCTGAATCAATCATTCGTTCAATTCTCACATTTCTTCAAGAAAAGATAATGTTCAAGAATGTCTGGACAGACGGCTTTCTTGACAAATGTGTCCAATCATATAACTGATCAAGATATATGTCCCGTCAAAAGCTTCAACATACAAAGGTTTATTCAGCAAAATGAAGCCAAAGCTCAAGGCTATAAGTCATAAATACTATTATATAAGCTCCTAACTTCATACTTCACTATGATTAGTTGACAACGAAAAGATTTCAAACCTCACTTGTTAAAATTAAAAAAAAAAATCTTTTTATAACTTTCGAACAAATTGAAATTCGTGAAAGTTGTCTAAGTCGGATTTAGAAGACAGATTATTGGTAACGCAAGAGAACTGATGGAGAGCAATATGAATGTCGAATTTTTTCTTTAGCTTCAGTTTCTCCACCTTTTTCTGGTGTTTTATTCTAACTTCCATGGAAGGGAAAATGACCAAGTGAGCAACTGAATGACCGATGCTGTCTTGTGCTAGGAGGAAGATGTTTACGAGGGAGCCAACCCAATCTCGGCAGATGATTGAATTGTATCTCGCAATTTAGTAACAAGTTAAACTTATTAGCAATTATAATTTTTAAAGTTAATCTAGTTTCGAAAATCAAATAGTTTTCGGTTAACATATAATCTAGAAGTAAAGTTTAATGCTGTGTGTTTCAGATTTAAATTTAACTTTTAAATCACGGATTTAATTCTTATTTCTATTTAAAGTGAAGCATCAGCTTATCATACTGAAGCATTCGTTAGATGCACTTGGAGATATGCAACAAATATTGTACCATTTCTTGAAGCAACTGAATAATTAATTCTCAAGATGAAAAGAAAAAGATAATATTGTGCATCAATTTTATTCGAAAAGCTAATAAGCAAAAATTTTAAATTTCTAAAACAAAAAGATTTCAATTCAATTAATTGCAATAAATTTTCCTTTTTGTTTTTTCATTACACTCTTCGATAATTTCGGTGTTATTCACAAAAATTAACAAAGTAGACGGGAAAATGGAAA